TCAATAAAGAAGTACATATCATTCTAAGGGATTGTCTACCAAGATATCATTTATTTTTTATAAAAGTAACAAGAACTTAAAATACAACGAGGTAATTTTAAATGAAAAATAAAGAAAACTCGAAAACAAAAGAAAATGAAAAAAGGAAAGAAAAATTCTAAACCAGGCCTAAATAAAGATAAAATCTCTTAAAGACAATAAAAATGAAAAAGAAAAAAACATAAAATGATAGAAGAGTGAGATAAATATAATAATGAATGCAAGTGTAAATAGCTGAAATAGGAATCGGGCTCGAGTAAAGGTGGTAGTAGCTAGGATTTTATAGCGCTGTGTCTCAAGTTTCATTCATGTGTAGCCTTGTAAAAAATAAATAAATAAATTGTAAAAAGCTGAAATGAAATAAAGACGACAAAACCAATTATAGAAAAGAAAGGGAAAACATGAACAATTATAAAACATCTTGAAACACAACTAGATAATATAATTCAAACCCGTTAAATGATGGCCACAACATAATAATAACAAATATCAAAATTAAATTGAAGGAAAAATAGTAAAAAGACATGAAATAATAAACAAAAAAAAAAGAAAAGGAAATTTGAGGTTTAAACATGCCGCAAAAGTGCTCTCTATGCCTATGTATGCATTTATATACCAATTTATTCATGTTTGTTTACATGAGCAGTAACAATTTTTTTTTGAACAAAGTTACTTCTGTTTATTTATATTAATAATGTTCAAATTGTTTCTTCGAACAACAACCATTATGTAGTTTGCAATTGACAATTTATTTCAGACTCCTAATCTTTATATAATGATATAAACGGATTGATCTAGTGGCATTAATTGTATCTCTTACAATCTGTCCCAATGGATCTCTTGGTAAAAGTGCCACGACCCTGACTCTATATACGCAAAGTTCATACGACCAGTTACTAATGTCATATTAATTTCTTTCATATTTAATGCTTATTGAAATACGGCAAGAAGTAGCTAATCAATGAAGTTACATCAATGGGATTACAGAACTGAGGAAATCATTGGGCATTAAAACACAAAACGATCACAAAAATAAGAAAACCATAGAGAAATGATAAAAATAATACAAGATTTGTTCCCTGTGAACTTGTGTCCTAATTTCGGTACATGTCTTTTTACTTTTGGGTGTGGTTTGTATAAGGTGTGACCCTTAAACAATCTAATTAGGCGCACCCTGAAAAGTTTATCGAAAGATGTAATTTTGGTGTTGAAATTTTCTTGATGATCAGGAAAACTATTTCACATCTAAATACGAAATTTAAAACTTAAAAGAAGGGTACAAATCGAGCAGACTTACAAAAATATGAAAGTCTCGAGGATGGACAGTCTAGATAATGTATTATAAGTTTTATTTATTTATTTATTTATTTATATACCTTGAGGTCGAGAAGATCAATTAAAGGGTCTTTCACCATCAAAATAACATTTTTCAATGGATTTTCAAGGTGTGCGTTTTTTCTATCACTTTAGTTTGCAACCTTATAGAAAGTTTTTCCTTTTTATTTTAGTAATGAACTCTAAAATTTTGGGACAAAATCATAAAAGAAATCTTGCTTTGTTGCCACCCATTTTTGTTGCCATTTTGGGAAGGCAAAATGAAACAATAAGTGGATTACAAAAAAAAAAAAAAATTCGGATGGTCAAAATATGCTCTTTCTCATTTTTGGTGGGATAAGTGGGAGATTTGATCGAGGTGCAGCCCTAAATTTGCTAATTTACATTTCTAATATCTTATGGCTAATCTATTCTTATAACTAATTATAAAATTCACAATTTTAAAAATGATATAGACCGAACAGATCTATAAACACATTAAAATCTTGCTGATAGACAGTCAATATAATTTGTACAAGATGTATTATTTTAAAAGTTTGAAAATTTATTATTTTTTGAAAATCATTATCATGGTGATCAAGATTATTGAACCTGAAAAAGTTTGAGTCGGAATCCATATCCAAGAAGCAATATTGAAAGAGATAGCAATTGAACATGTGCATCCACTTAGCACAGAAACCTGGCCCATCATGTTATATAATATTATAACCGAAAGTATATAATGAGACCATTTACTTTTTCTACAATGTGGTTACAATTAATTTTGACTATTGGAAGTGAAATTAGGTGGCTGCATTTATTTCATTGACCGACCTAAAAGTTCAAAAGAAATTCTCTCAAATTTTGTGACACATCCAAATTCACGTCAGATAGTTGTAAGCAATTGTGACCTCCCTATTCCAAAAGTAAATGGTTATCATTGTATACAATCCCATATTATAATGGGAATTTTTCTTCTTAATCGATGGACTTACACTATAAATCTCAACATCCACTTGGTATACAAACACTATATGGAACATACTATACACCACTAGTATGCGGTGTGTGCAAAGTGCAGACTAGCATACATGGTGTGTACTATACACCACTAACGCATAAGTGTACTCCGTACTTGCTTCTTCTTTTTTTTCTTCTTTCTTCCTTTTTTCTTTTTTGTTTTTTTTTTTTTCTACCAATCATTTGTTCTATTTTTTATTGTTTGAAAAAGCTTGGCATTTCAACTAAGTCCTCTTTATGACTGAGAATGGGTCAGATTGAGTCCGGATCCACTAGGATCCAGATCCAGATTTAAAAAAGGGATTGTATACAATGAGACCATTTACATTTGATGCAAGATGGTCACAATTGTTTACAGCCATCCGATGTGAATTTTGATAGCTTGGATGTGTCACAAAGTTTGAGCTTGTCAATGGAATAATTGTAGCCACCCAATTTTACATCCAATGGTTAAGATTAATGTCTCACCTTGTACCAAAGGTAAATAGTCTCATTCTATATTTCCTCTTTAAAAACTATACATGGGATCTAGATACAGATCCGAACCTGATCGGTTCTAGAATATTTGGATATAGATCCAGATCCAATCCGATCGGGTCCAAAAAATTATTTTGTAATATTATATATACATATACAGGTTATATTAGGGTGCTCACACTATGGAGCATTTTAGAATTGTATTTAACAAATTTAGACACTTAAATACCCTTGTTTGGTATATAAAACATTTTTGAATAAGAATATTTTTAGTCATTAAGAGGGGTGTGACGTAATCCACATAAGGAGTGTCGTCACACATATAGAGCATTAAATACCACTAGCGTACTCTATGTGGGTGATGTTACTCCCTATGTGGATAACATCACACTTGTCCTAATGACCGAAAATACACTTTTGTCGAATCCAAAACTTGGACCTGTAAAGAAGATCTCGATTGGGTTCAAATTCGAGATTCGGGTTGGATTAGGTAAAATCGCGACTCTATTCCCCTTCGCCTGTCTAATCAACTATAGAATGCGTGTGAAGACCAGTCACATTTAAATAGCATGTGAGCCATTCGTGTTTAACATCAACTATTTTACTAGTTTTGGTCTTAATCTAATCTCATCACAGTTGATTTTTTTTTAAGATCCCTGAGTTTGGTCCACCCAACTCTGGGATACAGTGAGTCTGAGTTAGTCAGGTGCGTCTGAGTTGGCTCGCCAGAGTTTTTACACACTGGTTTGGAAAAGTGTTGAACAAAATATGTTTGGGGCCTAAGAAGTTCCCATATCTTGGCATCTTGCCTGTACTTGGGTTGAGTTGGATCAAATTCCAGCAATTTCTACCCATTCACGACAAAAATTTATTGTAAAATTTAGTTGGGGGTTTGGAAAATTTTCATTTAATTCTTTCTCAAAGTTATGAATTTTGAGCATTGGTAATTCAAATTGGGTGCGGACATATATAGCCCAACAATGTGTCAACTCTTTTAGGAAAAGTCTAAAATGAGGTTCTATTCAGGTGAAGCCTCATTGCAGAAAATCCATCTTAGAGATGGATTTAGTTCACATTAGATACATCTCCACTGTAGATACATGATTTTGTAGCCCTGAAAACAATGTAGATCAGATGATTTGTGGAAGATTAAAGTGAAAGCTGATGAACAGTCCAAAAACAAACTTTAAAATAGTTTCTTTTGTTATTCAAAATCGATTTCTTCATATTCATGATAGTAGGTCCAAAACATGAAAGATTTTAGGGCCAAAACACCATTATTAATATAAATTTTTGAACGAGACGGAATAAGAGCGTGGGCTAACACACCAAAGCCTGTCCAATCTTAAGGTACATTAATTTACTGTAAATTACACATCCGCATTACAATGTAAGGTGCACCTCAAAACTTTATGGTTTTCATAAGGTTGCAACCTTAAGATATCAAAGTAAGAAGCACCTCTAAACTTTGTCATAAGATAATACTCTTTTGTTGTAAAAAATTCTTAGGATGGTGCGAAAATCTATTTTGATTTCTATTTATAAAATTTTTTAACTCCAAATGGTTCAAATAAACCATACCTATATAACGCATGAAATCTCAAAAGCAGACGGTCCATATAATATGTCTCAAAATGTGTAATTTTTAGGGCTTGAAATCCATTTTCTTCCCTATATCTACACATATTGATGTCTAGATGATCAATTAGATGTTTTTCCAACATCAAAACAACCTTGTTTTTGAAGGATTATAGCCATGTACCTTATTTCTACATTTCAAGGTGTCAACCCTATACAAACTTTATCCATCTTTATAATGGGGTAATTTAGCTTTTAAATCTTTCTTTTTAATTTCAACAAAATTTCAGTTAACACCATGTTCCATAGGGCCATGATTTGTGCCCTAGTTATTAAGACAATCCGTTGTTCTTACTACAAATCGTGTCCCACGAGGCCTTGACCCAGGACATTGAAGTTAGGAAAACCATATAATCAAATGGATAACTGCAACATAAGTCAAATACAAATTTTAATACTCCAAGCAATTGTTTAGGTACCTATGACTCTATATAAATGAGGGAGAGAATGGACTATTAATTTATTTATAAATAGGAAGCATGGTCATTAGGGATGCCCATTGCCCTTTAAGAATGGCGACCCTGGCAACATTTGTTACTGTAGCATTAGTTAACCCTTTACTCTACTCTCTTCTAAATGCATCACCCTCCATGGCTTCAACTTTGGAGAGTGGCCTTCTCGATTGTTCTGAAAAGAATGGCTTGACCAACTATACCACAATCACTTAATCACCCCAAATTTATTACGAACTCCTCATTTTCTCTCTACAAAACCTTCGATTTACCGAGCCGTCTGTCCCAATGCCCTGTATTATCATTCTCCCTTTGAGTAATATCCAACTAAAACATGTAGTGGTTTGCTCGAGACGACATGGGTGGCTTATATGTGCACGATGTGGGGGCCACAGCTATGAGGGCTTCTTGTCAACTGGGGACTTACCATTTGTCATCATTGATCTGATGAATTTGAATAAGGTGGAGGTTGATATTGCCCAAGGAACTGCTTGGATAGGGGGTGGAACAATCGTAGTTATCAGGAGCGGGAGCATCGGATCGAGAGCTGTCTAAAGCTCTAGAGCTCGGGGAGCGACTTCCATTGAGTGTAAAAATTGTGAATTGAGATCCCATATGAACATAGAGCGTATTCCCGATACATTGGGATCGATGTCCTTATTTAACAGGAACGTGTTCTATGTAAAATGGGATCGTATTGCCATGCTCATTAGGATTGCGCTCCCATAGACAATAGTAACAAGTTCCTATTTAAAGTTGAGTCGTGCCCCATCTAAGAAAAATGTTTTCCTATTTGGAATGGATTGAGCTCCATTCAAGGTTGGATTGCGTTCTGCTTAACTTGGAGCCAATCTCTACCTGCCGTCTGTCTCTTCCTCTCTCTCTCTCTATCTCTCTCTTGATCAAACATTCACCGCTAATCCAATGGACCCATCTGCCAAAACGCACCCCTCTCTCTCTTTAACTTCATGAGCACATTTATTTGACTTCACAGTGAGTGGACTCTTTCTCTCTCCTTAGAAAGCACAATGGCAAAAAAAATCTACATACCCATCTCAACCACACTTGCTAGCAGTTGGGGACCTCCATGGCGATCTCCAAAAGGACAAACAAGCTTTGAAAATGACTAAAATCTTTGATGAAAAACTATTCACTGGATTGCAGGTAACTCCATGGTTGTGAAGCTTGGTGATATCCTTGACAGAGGAGAAGAAGAGTTCAAGCTCCTTATTTTTTAGAAAAACTCAAGTAAGACGCAAAGAAATCTAGTGGGAAGCTGTTAATTTTACAAGGAAACCATGAAAGCCTAAATATATAAGGAGATTTCAAGTATGTCATAAAAGTTGGCCTTGGCGAATTCAAGAATTGGGGTGACTGGTTTTCTATAGTAATTCAAATGAAAAACCTTTGTAAAGAATTGGAAAACAAATTAACAGTTTTAATGGCGTACCCAAAATTACCCATCTGGAATTAGGGCTAGAATAGCTGCTTTGAGTCCTAGAGGCCCAATTTCTACGTGTTTTTTAGCTGATAACCCTATTATTTTAATGGTGGGTGGATTCGTTTTTTTCATGGTGGGATCCTCCCTAAGGATGGAGTTCTGGGGACGTAGGGATCTCAATCCTAAAATTCTAGGAGCAGGGATCTAATTTGTTCAGGAACGCGTTCCGTGGGACAGTAGGAGAGAGATCTGTGCGGTAGCGGGAGAGAACTCCGTTGTGAATGGGATCGAGAATCCTAAAAATATGAGTAAGGTCCCAAAAAGTTGGGAACAGGTTCCGGATGAGACCTGGCCACGGAGAGCTAGAGTTGGATTCCGGAGTGAGAGCAGCACCCTAGTTGGGTGCTCCCGGTAACTATGAGAACAACCCTAGGTGAGGCTTACTATCCCATAGCAAAATGCTAGTAAGGATCGATATGGTTTCCCAGCAGGAACTTGCCCAACAATGGGAAGTGGGGGGCACATTAGTGGAGGCAGATTCGGCCACATGTCCAGCAAATTTGGGCTTGCTGTTGATAATATAGTGGATGCATTGGTGGTAAATGCTGAGGGCTTCTATTGAATAGGACCGCAATGGGGGAAGATATGTTTTGGGCCATAAGTGGTGGGGGTGGTGAAAGTTGGGGAATAGTAGTAGCTTGGAAGCTCAGGTTAGCTGACATAAATAGAAATGTGACTTTATTTCAAACTAATAAAACAGAAAGAAAACAGTTGCGAATTTGGTTCATAAGTGGCAAGCTATAGCCCATAATTTGCCTAATGAGTTCCATCTCCAAGCTATTTTAGCGGCTAATTCGAGTTGAATTATTAGGGTTTCTTTTTTTGGATTGTATCTTGGAGGTGTTGATGATGCTCATAAGATAATGAGAGATCGGTTTAGGAGCCTAGCCATCAGTACGTCGATATGTAAAGAGAAGACATGGATTGATTCCGTGCTCTTTTTCTCCAGCTTGCCTAGTGGTAGCACCAGAGAAGACTTGTTTAATTGGTACTTGGTGGATAATTTCTTTTTCAAGGCAAAATCTGATTATGTTAAGGAGCCATTGACTCCTGGTTCTCTAGAGGGTGCTATAACGTATCTGGAGGAAGAGCCTTCCGGATCAATCATTCTCTACCCCTATGGTGGGAAAATGGATGAAATTGAGCCAGATGCCATACCCTTTCCGCACTGTAAGGGTAACATATATAGCATCCAATATATAATAAATTGGCAAACACAAGAAGAAGAAGATTACAAGTACTTGATGTAGAGATAGTTGAGGATAGAGATAGTTGAAGTCAGTATTTATCTTGTATTTAATGCATATATCTCTCTTGATAAGACTAGATTAGTTAGTAATTATCAATAACTAATTAGCCGTATATTTATACGGGATTTTGTATATTCTTAAATCAATCAATAGACAGAAAGTTCTCTGTAGTATCCAGGGTTTCTAACATGGTATCAGAGCCAGGTTTGCCGTGATGATTTTTCGACGATTTAGGTCGTGAGGATTTTCTAGCGATTTGAGGATGACACATGGGTTTCTTTCTCAATCTCTCTTACACCATCTGGGAGACACAGACCACGATCAGGAGAGACGTCGCTCTGATACCATGTTAGAAACCCTGAATACTACATAGGACTTTCTGTCTATTGATTGATTTAAGAATATACAAAGTCCCGTACGGCTAATCAGTTATCGATAGTTACTAACTAATCTAGTCTTATCAAGAGAGATATGTACATCAAATAAAAGATAAAGGTTGTCTTCAACTATCTCTACACTTGAGATTTAAGAATATACAAAGTCCTGTATAAATATACGGCTAATCAATTATCGATAGTTACTAACTAATTTAGTCTTATCAAGAGAGATATGTACATCAAATAAAAGATAAAGACTGTCTTCAACTATCTCTACGCTTGAATCGGATCGGAAGCTTTTATAAGTATATGGAGCCCTATGTGAACAAGTCCCCAAGGGAGGCCTATGTCAATTACTTGGATATAGACTTAGGGGCTCTTAGAAATGGAACTGCGAGGGTGGAAACTGCAAGAGAATGGGGTATAATGTATTTCAAGGATAATTTTGATCGTCTGGTTTGAGTGAAGAGCCATGTTGACCCTCACAATGTTAGGAACCTACAGAGTATTCCTGTCAGTGCGAAACAAGTAATATGAATTTAAGGGATTTCCTCGAGCCATTTCCCCAATGGGGCTTGGGTTTTGTTCTAAATGATCTGTTATAGTTTCAACTTATCTATGATGGGTGCTAAAACTCTATAAAATTAGCAAGCCATTAAGAATCTTATTCATGTAGTAAATTTGCCTTCATTAAAAAATGTCATCCCTAGACTCTTATATCATCTCCTTTTTTTTTAAAGTCTTTATCATTATTACATATGTTTTTAAATATTACATAATAAAGAAAGTGCACAACATGACATTCTAACCACCTGCTTGTATTGTGTTTACCAACTTCATGATTCACTGTATATTATGTGTCAAAAAGCAAATTTTAACCCAATGTGTAGCCACTGGTTTAGGAATTACATGGGTTGATTTTTATGTTGTTTCACTTACTGCTATATTATTGTAAAAAAGTACGTAAAGAGAGTATTTACTTTTGGGTGTGGTTTGCATGAGGTTGAAACCTTAAACAATCCAATTGAGGCGCACGTCTCAATTTTATCATAAATTTATTTTGATATAAAAAATTCTTAAGATAGTTTGAGAATCTATTTTCGTATCTAATTATAAACTTTTAAACTGGTTCAAATCAAGTAGATTTATAAACAATGGAAATCAAGGATCCCAATCATGGGATAGAATTTTTAGGAGCATTTTCCAATTTGCCCCGTATTTTTTTATTAATCATACAGAGATATTTGGATGCTTTATGTGAGTCAAAAGAGACTAGAGCATACTGTCCATTCACTTCCTTAGTTAAAACCCAATATAGGCCACTTTTAGGACCCTATATTTTGGAGATATAACACCCTCAAACCTAGTGACTTACATTATTTAAAATAAAACAATCTTATCGAACCCTGTATGTGGCTGAAAAAAAAAAAAGAATCCTAATAATGAATGGAGAACATACAATTTTTGGAGGGTGATTTTCTTAATGCTAGTGCATTTGAGGGTTTTTAAGGAGGGGCAAAAGTAGAAAGCTAGCCCTCTTACGATATATATTGTGATGATCACATGCCATGGCTTTGGAAAGAAATAAACCATCCCAGTTGATTTTTTTTAAGAGAAAAGACCTCTATAATTTTATATTATGAGAAGGACTTTATCATCAGAGGGGCACTCATCATCGACCACTGGGAAGTTAAAAACTGCAGAAACTGAAAAGATTCATACGCATTGAAGACCAAATCAAACAAAAATTCTGATTAAAAGCGAGCAATACTTGAAAGAAAATTCTCTATTCGCCATGAAAATTTTGAAATTTTACGAATTTACAACAAATCAAGCCCAAGTGCAATCTTCAAAATTAGGATATTAATTTCTGTTTCATTAATATATATGGAATACTACAACTCCGTTTTAATTGAGTAAAGATCTTCCATCCATGTCCAAATACGTTTTTTTAACTCGTATGCCAACCTAGTTATCCTTTTTCTCCCTTTCTGCCTTGCCATTGCATCTTTCCATTTTGATTCTCAATTTCTTCAGTCAACATACTTTTCAGCATATATTTAATGAAATTTGCATCATTTTTATCATCTGATGATTCTAATCCATACGTGAGAGAATAAAATGTGAATAATTTGAAGGTGATGATATCATAAATATAAAGGCCCTTGGGCATTTAACAATATTTGTTCCCAACATTCTTCAACCTATCATCTTGACATATTATCTGTCTCGATAACTACTCTCCTTATACCACATTTTAGCATCTACTTTATGTTCTTCTTCTGGTGCAATGACATGGGTTATGACTTTTGCAAACATCAAAGGCTATGTTAAAAATGAGAAAACCACCACTAATACACAATTAGTTCATCATTTTATGTTAGGAGTTACGAGTCTTCTAAAAAAGAGCAATTCGAGTTTCTCACAAGCAAGTTGGGCGTTCTTAATGTTCATGCTCTGTCTTGATGAGGAGTATTAGGATTTACCAAGTCTTCTTGGAATTCAAAATTCAAGTTTTGGAAGAGTTTTATATATTTACGCTGCTAGTTAGCATTTACTGAGTCTTACGGCTCTACATTGTACACTTTCTACATTTGGTTGGCACAATCAAGGGATTACATCATTCAAATAAAGGGATTACAACTTGTTGTAACTTCTACACACTCTGGTGTGTACGAGTGTGGAAAGTAGTGTCTTCCGTAAATCTCAAGTTTAAAGGTGTATGGTGTGCATGCGCCCTGTTATCTTTAAAAGCTAGTTTACCTATGCCAAGAGATGTCGTACTCCGAGGGGAGAATACTTTCGAGTTATATCCTCGAGCAAAATCCAATATAGAAAGCAAAACCTTAATGAAGAATTTGTAAATTACGCTATCTATGTACTTCAAAAAAAATAATGTTTCACGATTGAATAGAGATCGTTCAATTTATTAGAAAGACAGATCTAAGTGTTAACAAACTCAAAAGGAAACTGGTTTGATAGGCTTGCAGCCCTATTGAAACAAGTAAAGCTTTCTTCAACTCATAACTCATTAATAATTGCAATTGAAGTGTTGAAAAACCTTAAAATCGATCATCCCAACTTGAACATTATGGTTTTGCAGATAAATTAGGATTACAGATTCTACAAATAGTGTATATTGCAATAAATCATTTAGACTATCCATTTTGCTTTAAAAATAAGTGTTTACAGATCTGCAAAATCGATAGCATTTTTTAGTTTCAAATTTTATTATTGGTAATGGAAATTAATTTTAGAGCCATCATGAAGATTTCGATGCCAAAAGTGCTTTCTAGATGAGGATTTGAGGTGAGGCTTTATTTTGTTTTCATAAAGCCTAGGCCTTATGAAAACTTTATCCAACTCAAAATTCAAATTTTGTTAAAAATAATAACTAAATAATTTTTAGGTGATTATCAAAATTTCATATTAAAAAATCTCTCCCAGTAGGACTTCTGACCGACCCCAATATACCTGCTCTCTTTTTAATGCTCGACGAAGTATTTTGATATCTTTGCTTGGCGTTTAGATTTTTGTCCTCATCACTTGTCTATTCACAGATACAATGTACAACTTGCGTATTAAAAATGGACTATTTATACCTTTGGGTCTTAAGCTGATCTCATCACACTTTGGACTAGTTGTTCAACAAAACGATGAAGCTTCTCCGAGGCCTGGGCTTTATGAAAACAAAATCTTCGTCTAGAAAGCACTTTCGACAGTGAAAATCTCCATAACAGATCTATATCAATTTTCAATTCCGATAATTTGTAACAATATACACAATTTTTCGAGGTTGAAATCATATTTTTTTTTTTTATCAACTAATATATTCAAGCTGAGATGACTGATATAAAGGTTTTTTTAATACTTGAAGTGTTATTTTCGATGAATTATGAGGTGAAGCTTTACTTATTTTGATAGAATTGTAACCCTATCAAACCATTTTCCTTAACAAAATATGTTTGCATATGCTACTGCCTAAAGATATTATACTCCCATGGGAGTACTGTCTATTTATTCCGCCGTTGGAACCCCACCAAAGATTAATTTTAGGATCTCAAATCTTAGGGATCTAACTTCTTCAATACATAGATTAACTTCAATAAAAAAACTTTCCAATTTCACCCTTTACACACATGAAAAATGATAATGTTTCAAGATTAAATAGAGACCGTCCAATTTTTAGGGACTGAGATCTAAGTGTTGTAAAACTAAATTTTTTTATATTTTTTCTTTTGAAAATAATCATCTCATGATTATTAAGCGGTTAGCAAAATTTTCAAATTAAAAAATATCTCCCAAATATGTCTTCTAACCGAGGGAGTAAGCAACACTCCTGTGGGAGTGTAGTATACCTGCGCTAAAGTAATAATAAAACTTGTTTAATTCCCACCAACTCTCCAGAAGAGTTCCTATTGCAGGACATTCTCCACAAATTAGGCTGAGGCGGATGAAATTTGAACAATCCAACCTAATCACCTCTAAAATTTAGTCTAAAGTTCAGTTGAGGGTTTGGTGAAATTTCGTTTAATATTTGCTCACAGCTATATAATATGGAGCCTCCATAATTGCACTTAGATATGGACATATTCAAGTTGAATTTTAAAGGCAAATGTTTAAATGAGGTTCTATCAAATGCATTTTCCCATCCAAAAATCTATCTTAAAAATAGCTTTAGGATATAAAATTATCCTAAGTCACTCTAGATGCATTTCTGTTGCACATCCACGATCCAAAAATGATGCAGATATGGTGATCAGTGAAGAATTAAAATGAAAGATGGTGAACAATCTAAGAAACGAAGTATGCAATATTATTTTCTTTATCTAACGTACAAAATACAAATTTCTTGTTCAATGGTAATGGTGAAAATTATCAACACGTGAAAATTTGGGTCAAAAACCCATCCGTAAAATGGACATCTAAAGAATCGGCTAATACATCACAACTCTATCCAATTTTGAGATACACAGTTGTTATTTCTGCATCTCTATTAGAAATGCCAAATGTTAATAAGGAATTATATACTCTAAGACCGTTTATTGTAGGTACAAGGAGCTCACAATCATTTTTACTGATTGTATGTGAAATCAAATAGATAAAAATATATCATAATATTTGAGAAATTTTATTTCAAACTTTGTGCCCAAACAATAACACATACTCAACCACCTGATTTCAAATCTAATGGTCAATGATGATTGTGACCGAATTACATAAAAAGTAAATAGTCTTATTGTATACCTTCCTATTGATAATAAGGGTCCCTTCTAATTTGAGCAAAATTTTAATCAGCACCATGGTCCACATGGCCATGATCTAAAAGTCAATAACTGTACACCTATTTTTTCCTTGGTTATTACGAAAATTCACTGTTCTTATTAACCACATCGTGTCTTACGAGGCCTTACTTTTGAGATTAAAAAACCATATAATCAAATTTGATCATAAATAGGAAGCATGGCCGCAATAGTAGCTCATTGTCCTCTAACAATGGCTACCCTAACAACATTTTTTATCCTGGCATTGCTTAA